GTGGTTCCCTTCATGGTTCAGCTTCTGAAAGTGTAACCTGATTCCATGTCTTGCCCTGCTCTGCCTTTCATCGGCTTAGTAATCTTGTTAGCAGAGTTCCTGCGTAATCCTCCCACAGTGTTCATATCTCTGCAGGTCTACACGGCTTCTTCCCCGCAGCTCTGTGGGATGCTGCTGGACCCCAACTGAGCAACTCAGGTAGGACAAGAGACGCCCAACATTTTGACCACTGACACCTCCGTTGATGCTGCGTAGCTTTGAGAACAATGAAATAAAGTAGATTAGGTGCCGTGTTAGGGTTTCGCTTACGGTTCAGGTGCATGCCCTGGTTTCGAATGGTAGTAGCTGGTGATTTGTACTCTTTAAATTTGTTTATACTTGTAGTTCAATTTGATCTTCCTGAACCAACGAATCAGGGCAGGAGACACAAGGCTGAACCATAACTATTATTTTCTTCTTGGTCTGTGGTTTTATCAGGTTGTCCTGTAAATTTGATCAACTTGATTGCTGCTGATGCCGTGAACTTCTGCTAACACACACTCGTTTGTTTTATTGATACCCAGTTTTGGGTCTTGTGGAGGTCTAACTGAGGCAGAGATTAATTAAACGTTGTTTCTGTTGAATTTTCAAAAGATGTTTTTTCTTTTTTAACATTTTAGCATAAGCATCAACAGGAGAGCTCCCAAAGTCGCAAAATTGAACCGGGTGAGGGGTATATTTAAGTAACTTTGAGCACATGAAGTCAAAATGGTTTAAAACTCCGAGTCATGTCTGCTGTAAACTCACCAGAGGTGCTCTTCTGTGAGGTTTTCTTTACCTGAACTGAAGCTGGAGGGTGTTGGTGACTCTGAAATCCTTTGAGAGTGTTTCAGTGGAAACCGAGGGAAATTACAGGAGAATTCACGTTATTTTTCCTTGGCTGCCTAGAAGAAGAGTTGATGATTGGGGAGGCTTAGTTTCCCCTGTGGATGACGAAGTATGATATATTGTTCGTCGATCAGGTTAGAGTTGATTCATAGCCTTCATAGCCTTGGCTGTCTCACACAACATGAGAAATTTGTAATTTGGGATGACAGAGTTAAAACTGACTTAACACAAATAATGTATGGAAACAAAAATCGAATCTTTTAGTAAAAAGTGGCACTACAATAATTTTAAAGTCCAAAAAATCTGCCTATATTAAAAATATACTTATGTGAAAGTATTAATTAACCCAAAATATAAAGTGCAAAAGTAAAAATATCATTTATGTTCTAATTCAATGTGTAAGTGTTCTGTTTTTAAATATTACACTCCTGAAATATAATAATGTCTTTTTATATGGTTAGTTGGTTAAGTTTACGGTTTGTGTAACGCATCATTAATTACATAAATATACGTCTTTAAACCTGCTTTAGCTGTCAGATAGGGAGTGTAGTGTATTGCAACAAAAGGTAGAATATTTACCTCATAAATAAAGAGGTGATGATGCATAAAGAAGCATAAAATGAAAGTAACTTAAAAAATATACTTAGTTACTTTACAGGATGAAAACAATGGTCCAGATTAGTTTTGATAACTCTGGTTTAACCTGAGGGTTCGATCAGTTAGGAAGCTCTCTCTTTTGGCAGTTATCTGAAAGTCTAAAAAGAATAACCAGTCAATTCAAAAAGCTCTACCGCTTTCCTAAACCAGCTGATTCGCTCACCTGGCGAAAGAGCCAACTAGCTTAGCAGCTAGCTTAGCAACAAAAACAAAAAGTGAGAGAGACAAAGACACCATGAAGACTCAGACAGATGAATCCTTGAGTTTTACTTTTTAAAGCTAGACTTGCTTATATTTTAAAAAAAAAACAAAAACATGGTGAGTCTGTGATGTTATCTGCTAATACAACCCGGCTTGATTAGCTTTGCGACGGTAATCAAGATGCTAATTTTAGCATATGAAACCAGGCTAGCTAACCTAGCTAAATATATTAAAACTAAATATAAATATTAAAAAAATAAACAGCTGATTATTTTGAGTGACTTAGTCCAACTAAACACTGAAAAATACATTTTTAGTCGACCAACCTTTAAAGTCCAGAAAAACAAAGAGACTTCAGGCTGTGCTATGCTAACGATGCATTTTATCACAATAATCATGCAGCTTTACCAGTTAACGCGTCAACTTTGTTCTGTGGTTGAAAACAAGCCAGATAGAGACTAATAACGTAAACACATTATACTTCATTGTTAAATTTATGGTAATGTTGTTGTATTTCATTATCAAATGCAGTGTTTTAGAATATAAATATAACATGTTCACATCTTTCCATGTTGGCTTTCCTTTTTTAGAACTGGAAAAAAAAGAAAACTGACTAACAAATTAGTCAGCTTCCCAACTGGTTAATTGGCACATACCCCAATTAGAAAGTAAACGTGCCAAACTGGAGACCAGTTTAAATGAACGTATGGGTGCAGTGAAAAGCCGTTTTGTGCTGCCAGGCCTCCTGTGGAGGATTAGGGTCAGCATCGGTCTGATCTAATTTGGACTGACACTCAGCCAGACAGGATCTTAACACCATTAAGTGCAGCGGGAAGCGGGTCAGTTGTAAACTTAGCAGTGATACAGCTAATTGTGTTTGGTTGTGTCCTCATATCCACAGGCGTTTCCGTAGTGATTGTAAACACAGAGCCTGCCCTGACATGAAGAAGACGATAATATTTAGAAATAGGTTCACACTGTAATGGCTGACAGTGTCTGTTCTTCTTCTTTGAGGATGTTGAGCTGGGTGGTCAAAGTTGTTCCCCAGCCGCCTGAGCCCAAAAAACCTGAAGAACCGAAGGATGCTGCCCCGCCCCCTGCCCCGCCCCCTGCAGCTGCTCCGCCTCCAGTTACTGTAAGCTTTGCCCAACTAAAACATGTTTTATTGTGTCATGTTTACGGAGCATTGTGAGGCAGAATTGGTTGTTTGCCTTAATAACTCAAATTTTTGTGCTGCTCTGGAAGCCACAAGTCTGTGTGGTACTGCCACACTTTAACAAAAACACATGTTATTAACAATGTACCCATAATATTACACTGAAACAACAATGTTGGTGATTGGCGGAGGTTACCGTTACTATGGAAATGTTGAGACCCATCAGTTGAACCTGAAACTCATATCATCAAAATCAAATATTTTTTTATAATCTTAATTCAGCTTGAAGCTAATTGGCTTGTTTCAAGGCTTAAAACTCTTTTTTCTGAAACTGATCGCAGAAAATGAACAGGAAATTCACTGTTAAATCCATATGGACTATCATGACTCTGTAAACTATGGTGTTGAAGTGTGTGTGCTAAATGTCCATCATGATACTAATACTTTTATCCAGAAGTAGTATTTGCACTGTTACTTTTTATGCGCTATTTTAGTTAAATATATATAAGATGACTTTCTTTTGTGTGTTAAACAGGAGAAGAAAGTGAAGTTTCAAGATGAAGTCAAAAGTGAAAGTAAGATCATTCACATGCAAATCATTTAACTTTGTGTAGCTCAGTCGGCATCTTTGTTTTTTAAAAATATTGAACATATATCAATGTTTGACTGACAGCACCAAAAGCTGAAAAACCAATGCAGGAACCTCAGACAGGAGCGGAGAATGGGTAAGTTATAAGCTACAAATATACCACACAAGACCCAATGTTTAAACTTAAACACAACGTTAAACCTAAACTATAAAAAAGGAGCCAGCAGTGCAGCTCATATTTTCCTCCTTATTTCCTGAAACCTTTCCTCATAGTTGCATAAAAATGAGTTGTTATTTAATACAGTTACAACTGTATTTCCAGGAAATCCCAACACACACTGGTTTTATTTATAAGGACAAATATTTTTCCAAATGAGTTTATTTGTTTGGAAAAGTACACATGAACAGTATTATAACAAACATTATGGTACAACTGATAAATATACAACTCGGAGTTCCCAGTTCAAGCTATGGCTGATAGCTACATTAGCCTAAACTGCTGCTAAATTAGCTGAAATCTAATGCTAATCTAGTGCTTCAAACGTAACTGAAAAACTAATTTTCCTCTGAATTTTCTTAATACTTCTATAGAAAAAAATAGCTGGATATTTATGACATTTTATAAAATGTTTTTTTTTAATTGTTTTTATTTTTATTATTATTTTTCAGTAAAAACCTAACTTAAAGGTTTTATTAATCCTAAAACCTAATATTATACAGATTTACTAGTTAGTACTAATAGCTCTAAAATTCCTGTTTGATTCAGTAACTTGATTAACTGTTACCGTATTTTTCTGCACTATAAGGCGCACTTAAAATCCTTTAATTTTCTCAAAAATCAACAGTGCCCCTTATAATCCGGTGCACCTTATGTAAGAATTCAGGTTGTGCTTACTGACCTTGAACTGATTTTATGTGCTACACGGCGCTCAAAAATCTGTCAAAAAAATGTTTTAGTGCGACTTTGCTAAGCTATGAAGCCGCACCGCTTGATGGATTGTTGGAGCATTACAGCTACCATAGTCAAGAGCCTCGCGGAGTAATCTGGGTCCTAAACTCCGTCGGCTTCAGGTCCCAAAGTCAAACGATCACTGCAGCATCACTGAGAGTTAAAAACTGTCTAAATTCTTTCATCTTTAATAAAATGATCAGCGTTGCTGCTTTACCAGGTGTAACAATTAAGTTTAACATCCATGAAAATAGAATTTATTAAATTTAACGGAGTTAGCAGGAAGTTAGCTTGCTAGCTTCCACCTAAATATGATATAGCATGTTCTGACTGAGAGATTTCTGAAAAAATTCAAACGTACAGCTCTGTTATCACTTCCAACATCAATGAAGACAGAAAACTAAACAGCAGTGACGTTTGTAGGGTTACTGAAGTTGGGCTAGCTGGTATATAATGATGTGCTACGTGATTGCTAGCAACACAGCTATGTTAGCATAACATAAACACAGTGACGCTGGAGGATGAACGCTAACTTTATTCCACTCTGTAAAAATTAACGTGAGGGTTCCCGATGGTTAGGGACAAATTGCATACTCAGGAGAACAACTGAGATAATCCATCCACGATACGAGGTTAGTCATTAATATACTGCAACAACATGGGAATAGAGCAGCTGTTAGGGAACTCAACATTAATGAATCAATGGTACGGAAGTGGAGGAAGCAAGAAGAACGAGTTGAGTAAAGTGTTTTGTTTTGCTTAATGCGCCTTATAATCCGGTTCGCCTTATGGTCCAAAAATACGGTACTACACGATGGAAACGTGATGTTAATGATGGATTCTTCACTGTGAATGTCTCATAGTTTAATTCTATCTGTGATAATACTCCACTGGAGAATGCACCGTTAGCTTGCTAAGAGACTTTTCCCTTCTTAATGATTTTAGTACCTTTTTTCTTACCTCTGACTCCAGTGAGGGAAGTAACCAGGGACATTTTCCTTGTACACGCTAAAGATTAAATATCTCTTATGTTTTTCAGCCTTTAAACAAGCTGCATAGTTTCAGTAGCATTTTTGATTTTGAGCCCTGATTATATTTCGGTTCAGTGTTACTTTAGAAGGGAAAAAATCTTTGCTTTGTTCCAGGAGAGTGAATAAAAAGCCTGAATTTAAACGTTTACATCTTCAGCCCAACAGCTGGGTCTCAGAGCGGCATGCTGACGTGGATCAGCGGCGCTTTGCCTCAACCCGCAGTCTCACCGAAAATGAGCCGAGCAAACTCCACTGCCAAGGTGAGGTCCTGATAAACGACCCTGGGTCTGACGCAGAGTCAGACTCAAGCTACATTTTTCAAAAAGATAAGTCTGGGAGGTTTTCGTACACATCAGATGAAATCTCTGTTGGTTTACAAGGTGGCAGTCCTGATTTTAGCCCTTAGTCAGTTTTTCAGATTTAGATTTTCAAAAAGCAGAAAATTGATCGCAGCTTACACACAGAGTATAATGCTCACTATCTTTATAATTGGCTAACAATCTCACCTTAACAGTTTCCCAGGATTCTACCTGTAGTCCCTCCTGAAAGCTTCATCTGAACCCCATGCCTGCTTGGTGTCTCTCTGAAAGCGCTCGTAGGGCCAGTTTGAGAAGTTAGTTTGTGATTCAGAAAACGCTGTTTTTACGAGTCTCGGTCTGATTGATTTGAACATCTGCTGCAGCTGGATCCAGCAGCTCTTTCAGGTCCAGCTCTTTTATTGTTCTGATAGTGCAGACGTTCCCAAAGTGTGGGGCCCGCCCCCTAGGGGGGGCGCAGAGCCATTGCAGGGGGGGCGCGGCATGAAAAGGGAAAAAAACAAAAAAACAACGCTTGGACACTGCTAGCACGGGCGCCCACACGAACGCAAAGCAGGAGATGAAGCATAGCTGAATATGTTTCCAAACCAACTTCATTCTATGGTGAAGCATATCTTCCCTTTGGTTTCACCTGCACAAGAGCCAAGGTAGGTCTCCCTGCAGGATTGGTTTTCCCTTCGTTGGGAGCAGCGCTGGGCTGTTTAAATCATGGACAAACAGTATCCCACATTCTTGATTTGTAGTTCACAAACACTTGTTGTAATGACTAACTACTCCTGACATTTTGGAGATGTTAGCTCTTTATACAGTAAAGTTACAGTGGGATACAAATAACATCAGGCTGATCCTGACACGATTTGTTCCCCGGTTCAAATCACGGACAAACAGCATCCAACAGTTGTTTATGTTTTTGAACCCATTTTGCAGAGGGATTTTTTGAAAAATGTATTGATAGCAATGTTGAATATTATTACACAGGAAAAAAACAACTACATGTGAAATAATTACACCATGACACCTCTGCCTTTCTAAATGGAGGGACAGTAACTGCGTGTATATGTAAGCGTGTAAAACCTGCAGATAGTCAGATTAACAGTATTTTGTCTCTACCTGCCATTCTGCAATTCATCTCATGTAAACAATAATGTGCACACAGCGTGAGGTGAAAAAAGGCACATACCTTTGACATTGCATGACGAACTCTGTATTCCTCGTCCACACGTAAACGCAAAAAAGGAGTTTTAAAAAATCTCCGTTCTCGGTGATTCGAAACGCCGTTTACGTGTGGACGAAACAGCTGCGTTTTCAAAAATACCCGTGTAGGTGTGGAAGTAGCGTAAAAGACGTAATAGTTTATTTTCTTACTACCTGTCATTTATTGCAGGTTACTTGTATTTGCTTAATTGTTTACTAAATGTTTGAGGTGTGAAATAAACCGCAATGGAGCAAAATAAGGGTGTGTGTGGTTGGAGGATGTGTTCGTGCGTGCATGTGCGCGCGAGGGGGGGCGCGAACATTTTTCTTGTAAAACAAGGGGGGCCCAGCAAAAAAAGTTTGGGAACCACTGTGATAGTGTTTCCTTCTCTTTTCTCTCATGCTGCCTACTCACAGGAGGAAGTTGAACCAGCCAGGTAAACACCTGTGTGTGAAACAGCTCTGTGTTCAGTCTCGTGATATTTGTGTAGAAGCCGGAAACGTCAGAACTGTTAGACTCAGTAATGGACTTTGTATTTTCTGCCCTGACAGTAAACCCGAAGACGAGTGAGTAACCACCATAATAAAAGCTAAATACTGATCTGATTCATAAGCCGATCAGCAGGCATATTGCCAAATAGTGAGCAGCTTGAAAAGCCTATCAATGAGCGGAATGCCAAATAGTGAGCAGCTTATCAACAGGCAGGATGCCAGAGATCGAGATTCTTTACAAAAAGCACCAATAGATCAGATGCCAGATAGCGAGCTGCTGTTTAATCCTTCATTAAGCTTCGCTGGATCTTCCGCAGCGCCCCCTAGTGTCCCGTAAAATCCCTCTCACAGTTATTAATGGGTGTTTCTTCCTTAGCAAAGGGATGATTGCCTGGATATCTCAGGGTCTGGAGAAGGTTGTTCCTCAGCCTGAGTTGAAGAGCAAAGAGTCGCCCACAGCTGAGCAGCCGGCAGAGGTAAGTCCCAAGTTCTGACCAAACCCGGCCATCAACTGTCAGCTAAAGTTATTAAAGCTAATTTACATCTCTGATTTCAATTTTATTTTAAACACACATCTGACTCTGGAGTGTTTAGATCATTAATAGTTCTTTTTTTAAAAGTTTTTGTAAAGTCCAACATCCAACACAATCATTTAAAGAAATCCTGAACACAACCTGAAACCCCAACAGTGTGTGGAAAGCTAAAAGTCATCTTAAACATTGGGAAATCATTGATTACAGATTCTGCAGTGTTTCCATCTCCATGATCATATTTTTAGCTTTTACCAAAAATATTCCTGCCTTGGTTACATGCTTGTTTCTCCTCAGGTGCGTCAGGCTGCACCTGCTCCAGGTGAGAACAGACCTGAATATGTTTGCAGACACAGACTGGATTTTAGCTGCTGCTCAGTCAATCATCAGTTTGCTTGTATTTCAGCTGCAGAGCCTCCGGTTACTGTGGTGGAGGTGAAACCGGACCAAACTGAAAACAAGCCACCGAGGTCAGCGTCCTGTTTTACAACATTATCTTCCCTTTAAATAAGCTGCTTAATTTGCTTAGAAGCACGTCTGTGCTTTATTAAGATGCAGGGGCGGACAGAACTATTTATACATTAGATTAGCGGTCCCCAACCCCCGGGTCACTAGGGCTGAGGCTCGGGTGTGAAATTCTTGGTTTTCAAGATTTTTATCGTTTTTTAATTTTATTTTTTAAATGTCTTTATTGTTAACTCGGTTTCCCCGGGTCTTTTCCTTGTGTTATAAATAAATCTTCTTTTTTGTGGTACTGGTACTGGTTTTATTTTGTTGTATTTTTGGGGCGATCGTGGCTCAAGAATTGGGAGTTCGTCTTGTAATCGGAAGGTTGTCGGTTTGAGCCCTGGCTCCGACAGTCTCGGTCGTTGTGTCCTTGGGCAAGACACTTCACCCGTTGCCTACTGGTGGTGGTCAGAGGGCCCGGTGGCGCCAGTGTCCGGCAGCCTTGCCTCTGTCAGTGCGCCCCAGGGTGGCTGTGGCTACAATGTAGCTGCCATCACCAGTGTGTGAGTGGGTGGATGACAGGTTGTGTAAAGCGCTTTGGGGTCCTTAGGGACTAGTAAAGCGCTATATAAATACAGACCATTTATTTACCCTTAGGGCCGGTCCGTGAAAATATTGTCGGGCATAAACCGGTCCGTGGCGCAAAAAAGGTTGTGGACCGCTGCATTAGATGTTAGAGGTGAGAGATGGATGGGTAAATGAGACTCAGGTGAAGATAATTAAGCAAAACAAGAAGTAAAACTTGAGATAGACAGAAGAGAAAATGAGACAAACAAGACATAAACAGAAGGTTAACACAAAGAAACAGAACTCAGCTACCTCACAGGAGCTAACTGTTCGTGTGATATTTCTGCCTGTGTTCTTACTCACAGCATGATAGACTGGATCAAACAGGGCATCGAGAAGGTGGTTCCTCAGCCAGAGATTCATGTTCGCTCAAAAACGGAGGCTGAAGCTCCGGCTCCGGCTAAAGGTATCTTTACTTCTTATTCAGCCACAAATCATCATTATAGACCTATTTAACTCAGAGATTTTCTTTCATGTTGTGGTGGTAAATGTTTGATTTGAACTGCTTTGCTTGGTTGAGCTCAACTGAAGTTCGTGTTCTGCTGACAGCTGGAGAAAAGAGAGTACTTATTCTTTCTAAAACAAACATTTGGACATTTAATCACCTTCGACTGGCTGTACTTTTGTGATATTTGGTCCTGGTTGAAAAATAGCTCCAAAAGAAAAGATCGTGCCAGTGTTGGAGATGTTATATACTTTTTGAAAGTTGCCTGGACAAACCTGGTGGACTTTCAAACAAATGAAAGGTTGTGTTTAAAATTTGATATAACCCTTTTTTGTCGGTTAGAAGGAAATATACGACTGGACTTCATTTTGCAAGAGACAATGTCATGTCTGCCGGCATTCTTTGAGCTCTTTTTGCCAGATGCCTTTTCTTGGACATGTAAAACTTTAGGATTCAGTGGTGCCATTTTGTAAAATTGTGCTAATATGATTTGCTCGTCCCCTTTTAAACAGCTGAAGCTCCGCCTCCAGCTCCTCCACCTGTCCCCAAACCAGCCCCAGAGACCGAGAAGTGAGTCAAACCTTTGTCTTGTGTCCTGTTTTAAAGTCTTTAAAACGGAATCAGACCCTGTGGAATGATCTATTTTACTCTAAATTGGACCATAATTTACAAAATGAGCATCATGTTTCATTCGGTAAGATTTAAAACTTGTGATTGCGACCATAAACTCAAGGTGTTACTCAGCTCAGAGATCAGGTGAGCAGGAAGTACATTTTCTCACAGCCTTCTAAAAAATCATACCAGAGGAGTCGCCCCCTGCTGGTCATTAGGAAGAATGCAGGTTTAAGGCAGGCTTAAGGCAGCTTTGCAGCGGCTTGATTTTTCAAAGCTGGAAGCTCAGGTCTCTCCTACTTTTGTCCTCACAGGTCCACCAAGGAAGCCGAGGAGCCACCAAAGTAAGTGGAAACATGTTTATGTTGAGATAGAAAAGTATTTTGTCCCTGTTAGCAGGGAAGCTAGCGTTAGTCCAGACAGAAGAAAAGCAGTTCAGCGTCAGGTTTGGTCCTGAAAACCAAACAAACCATCCCTCCGTGATTCCATGTGGATGTTGACTGTAGTTTTCTAAAGTCTTCTTGTTGTTCTTCCAGCATGATGGGCTGGATCGTCAATGGGATCGGTCGCATGTTGCCTCAGCCCGTGCAGAAGTCGGTGAGTTGCTGCTACACGACGCTCAGCTCTCGCAAACATGCCATAAAATCCCAGTTAGATCAGGTGACCTGAAGGTGTCATCTGTTTCCTTCATACAGGATGCAGGAAATGAGGAGGTGCAGACCAGTAAGTACAACAACAAACCAACATCAGAGTCGCATCACACTCAGTTGTGAGTTTATTAGTGGACAATTGTACGATGAGCAGCTTGGACAGAAAATACTGAGATACAGATAATTTACATCCATCCATCCCAAAGGGAACAATACAACAGGGAATGCAGCTCGATGATCCGATATAAATCCACGTGAAAAGGAGACTTTTTATATATAGACTTTCTGAAGTTGGCTGAAAGTTGGTTATAGAAATCATGCTGACTGAAAACCTGGTTTATCCTTACACTGTGACTCTTGGAGTGGGTGTAAAATGCCTTCATTAAATATACTAAAGTTCTATATAAAAACATTTGCTGATTTAATAGAAGTGAGGTGGGAAATTTCTCGTGTTTCATTGTTACAACCAAACTTTTCGATGACAAACACCCTAAACCGATTAAAAAGTAATTTTCTTACTACATCTATTTTTTTAGAAGACCCCATTTATATTATTCTGTGACACGTGCACTGGCGAATTGATTGATTGGTTAGTGGTAGGTCAGGGGTTGGTGTCAGTGATGAGGCAGACTGTAACTGGGCTGCTCTTCTCCTTTTGTTTCAGGGGGGAAAGGCGGACAGAGCCCCTTAAAATAAAAGGAGAAGGAAGAGCGGGACAGAGTCGCTCACACTGACACTGACAGCAGCAGACACTTTAACTGACTGACGGACACTCAGAGCTGTTTGCGCACAGCTACGGCAAGATTCAGTCCTGTAGCGCTCACAAAGCTGCACTGCTTTTGTTTTGCACAGCCATCGTGCGGAACTTAAACTTAGAAAAGGGCCACAATTGTATGATTTTATTCAAGGGGACTCATTCTGCTTTTGCTCCCTGTTTTAATTGTTTGACTCTAACAGAGTAGCTTTGCATGATTCAAAGTCCAAAATAATCCTTTGTCTCACACCGGGTCGTTGTTCATTCACGAAGTTCTTCCTTTGTCTAAAACATTATGTTAGCTCCACCCCCTTTCTTATGATAAGCTGCCCTTTATAAGGTGGGCGGGGCATCCGTGTCTGAGATTACCATATTAGGGTTAATCTCACTCTATGACATCATTCAGATCAAAGAGTAGAAAAAACTGTGTGAAATTAAGTGTTCGCAGATGCCTGAGCCTTTTTTTATTAGAAACTTTGTCCATGTTTAATATGAACTTCCACATCTGAACAGGAGATATTTGAAGGAAAGTAAACAAAAAGCAGAATATGTCCCCTTTAATGAACACCAGTTATGATTAGGAACTCTTTATTGCTATGCTCTGTTTAAAGTCCAAGCCTTTGGTGACCCTTCATACTGGGAACTCTGGATTGCTGGTAGTCCACGTCAACTGCTTGCTTGGTAAAGGGGACCAGTTGTTCTCATGTCCAGCTCTTTATTTTAATCCTGGAACTTAACCAGAGTAACTTGGCGAGATTCTCAGGTGAAAATAACTCATATATTGCCCCTTCATGTAGTTTCCTGTCTGAAACTAGCTGCTTTAGCTCCCGTCTCTTCAAGGTACACATCTCTAAAAGCCCAATGCCTTCTGATTGCCTGACTTATGGAAGCCTACAGAGGGGCAGCACCTTGTGTTTTTGAGATGTACTGTCTGTACGTCATGAGCGTGCTGTTCCTGTAGCAAGTGACTTCTGCGTAGTCTTTGAAACTTTGAATACAAATAAACATAAATATGTTCATTCATATTAAAATGATACCAGCCAGAAACTGAGGTAAAGCACAACTGGTCCCCTTTGAAGGTTTTTGCTAAATCATCAACTACAAAGGAAGCCTTTTGCTTAATATTTATTATAATAAAGACATTATTTGGAAAAAAGGTGTCTGTTGTGTTGTTGTTATAAACCTGAAAAGGGCAATAGACCTATCAATCAACCAATCAATCAGTTATCAACTGTTTAAAAAATCTAATCATTTCTAGCAACTTTAGCTTTTTTAGGACTCAAAGCACATTTATTTCTAAATTCTTCAATTAAAATATTTATTTCAGACATGCCAGTTGAGTAGCAGGTGCTTAAATACTTTACAATATGGACCAAAAGGAGCAGTTTGAAAATCTAGACGTTCCAATAATTAAACCCGCACATCTAAAACAAATGAAAATGCAGTTACTCAGTATGAATTACCTGAATTACCCCAAACACAGTCCATTTCTTGACTTTAGCCTTTTTAAAGCAAACGTTTCATGCTAGCCATCTGTTAGGATTACTAGATTGATGTGTGTTTCTTATTACAACCTTTTAAATGAATACTCCAGCTTTTACTGCACCTTCTTGGAGACTAAACACATAAATATAGTGAAAGTCTTCAGCCCTGTTCTTCCTGCCATGTGCCATTCAGTCAGTATCATACAGAAGAACACCGACCTGGTGCTGGAGGACATTGAACAGGAAGAAGTCAAGGAAACAAAGCCGGAGGTGAAGGAAGTGAAGGAAGAGCCACAGCTGGAGAAGAAAGAGGATGTGAAGCCATCCAAAAAGGTGAGCCTGACCTGACCGCATGATTGTAACACACAGCTCTGAGCCACACCAGTGTAATATGCTCACTATGAACATAAGTATTTTAAATCAAATTGTAGTTCTGCCACAGGTAACATGGTACTAACATGGTACTAACCCATGTGGAAGAGTGGTATGGTAGCAGCTCTGCAGTCGTAGTCCCAGAAAGGCATGACAGCACTTCAGTTACCAGTACATGTCCTTCGGGATATCAGTATCCCAATGCCATGGGACAATCAACATGGTAATACCAGTGTAGGCACTGTGTCTATTTATATGGTACCATGTTTGGTATTATGGTTTTATGGTTTCACAGTAACTACAGGGCACTCCACCATGGCAGTACTTCTATTACCACTGTAGTAAAGACTGTAGATGGTGTATAAACTTTTGTCCTTAAGAACAAGGGTCCAACAACCCCAGTGGCATTTGGAAGGATAAGTGTTAATACCAGTGCTGGTACTGTGGCCATCTAAATGTTACCACGGTCATTTTTGAATAAACACTTTCAGTGGGAAACTGGTACTACCAGAATAAGTTATTTAGTAAGCACTTTAGGTTCTGCAGCACTGTAGTACTGGTTGTACCATAGTATGTTTTGCAGACCCAGGATACCAGTATTCCAGTACCATGGCAAAAGTGAAATGGCAGGAGAACTGTAAACACTGTGGTAAATAGTGTGATATATGACAGCAGTCCCCAACCTTTTTTGCGCCATGGACCGGTTTATGTCTGACAATGTTTTCAGAATCAGACTCCAGTCTCAGCACTATGGGGAAGGATAGGGTAATACTAACAAAGGCCTTGTGTAAATGTTATCATGGTGCTACCAGAGTTCATTAGGTGACTGATGACTGCTCGAGTGAACTGTTGCTACGTAACTAAAATCATGGCTGGTTGCAGACTGAAGATGCAGAATCACAGGTGGATGAGTTGAGTCCACTGATTGACAGCATCAAAAAGGAGGCTGGAGAGGCAGTCCTAGCTCACATGGAGGAAAGGTTAGCCTCAGTCTTTTGTCTCATATGTGCAATAAGGATGATGATGATGATGTCTTTTGGGCGTTCTTGGGGAGCAATTTTAGCAAGATGTCTTTGTTATTTAAGTCACATAAATTCTTCTATCCATGACTATTGATTGATCTTGTTACAGGCTGCAGCAGGAGCGTCTGGAGGCAGCTCGTGTGGCCGAGGAGATGGCCAGAAAGGCAGCGGAGGAGGCAGTCCGCCAGCTCGAGGTGGAGCATTCAGCTAAGATTGTAATAGAAACGCTACCAGAGTCCAATGAACAGTAAGTCACATCAATTCAAAACATCACGCATAAGCAGCGCCATGGCAAAGTGCTCTAACCTATGAGCTTTTTGGGATTTATCAAAAAAGATCCTTGTAGTATCTCAAACATCTGAGCAGTAGCATGGTAAACAGAAAACAGTCCAACGTGACCAGAAACCTCGAATTGCTCCTATTTGCTTTGAACAGGCTGCCCAATATCCTGGAAGAAGAAAACGAGGATGATCCAGAGTAAGTTTCCTTTCGTGAAGCCCAAATAACAACGCTGTGGGTCTTACATGCTGCTTTTGTGCTCCTAGCTTAGGCTGCTGCAGCTTTTATATCACCTGAAAGTGATGGGATAGGTGAGACAATGTTCTTATCTCAAACACAATCCACATAGCACTTTATATTTCAAGTGTTGGGTTGAACAGTGTGTTAAATAATTTACATGCTACTGCTGAACTCCTATCAGCAACATTTCCCAGCTCTCTTTGCTGCCTTTAACAACAGGCTGGTTTCTCTCATCTTTGATTGCACTCAAATCAAAGGATGCCACATTAGCTAGCAACATTAGATAGCAATAACTAGAAAAAAGTCTTTTTCATCTAATGAATGCTGTCTAGCCAAATTGAAGTGTGGGGAAATGAGGATTATCGTCAGCAGAGCATTTTATTGATGTGGGCTCTTTGATTGAAAGCTGTCAATCTTGGCTAATATAAGCAAACACTAGCTTACTTGTTAGTCTTAAAGATTTGTAAGCTACCTCACACACCTCACTCCCAGGGCTGTTTGTGCAGATAAATTAGGTTTTTCTAAGTTACTTTATCAGCTAACATTAGCTAACATATTTAGCTAATTGTGTTATATTTAGCTAATAACACAGCTAACATATTTCTGTAGATAGCTTACATAGCTAAGTTAGCTAGCTAGCTAACCGTAGTGTCCTCAAGTTACTTCTTGAGAAAATCGCTGGAGTGTAAATGCTTATTGGCTAGTTGGCTACATCTAAGTTAAAAACAACTGCTAACACTAACTAGTACTACATGTAACGTTATACTGTACTGACCTTAGCCAACAGTAAGTCATGTAACAACACAAAGCGAAGGTGTATTGGCATCAATGTCACTGTACAGGACAAACAGGTCATACAGACCCCTGATGTCGGTTTATACACCACGAGTGTCATTCATAACAGCTGTTTTTATGTCACGCCATCTGTAAGATCCATCCCTGAACACTGACCTTCGACATCAGTCAGGTTCCGCAAACCAGTCGACTGGTCATTAAATGTCAAAAAAATAAAACCTTGAAAAATTCCAACTTCTATATGTTATAATTATGAGAACATCTAAAATAATTAGAAGAGCACGAAATCGTAAAAATACTATACATTCAGGTCCCATTCAAAGAACAGGCTGTTGGAATAGGAAGCGTTATTGTTGGATTCAGCCTGTTTTTCTTTAAATTGATAGAAAATTGATTTGAGATCGCTGCTGTCGCTCTGTGCGACTTGTTATGAAATATTTTGTCAACATTTTCAACATAAGGCCTCCAAAGGTTTGCTGTGTGCATATCCATGTGTCCATGGATAACAGTAGTGTAGTTTGTGGACAGTTTCTGCTGGTCTAGCCTCTTTAGTTTAACAGCAGGCTTCATCTTCACCTTCGCTGCTCTCTGCTTAGCTCTGCCGCTACCGCCTTTAGCTTCAGAATGGTTGAAAGATGAGCTCAGCTGTCTCAGGTGTCTGACTGGGACTCTCCATCTTATTTAACATTTGCTGCACACTGTTCAGGTTACAAAACCTGCAGGAGGACAGTGAAGACAGCACAGAGAATCAGAATCCTGAGGAAAATAAAGTGACAGAGGAAGATAAAATCAAGACCACTGTTGAGGAAGAGACTAAATCTGATCAGTAAGTTTGGTCATAGAATTTGGTCTGCTTGTAGAGTAAGAAACTAAAAGATACTCAAATAGTTTGCACACACAAGCGTGCACTAAGAGGCTGACGTGCCTGCTGGCATTATCAGATTTATGAAGCTTTAAATCTTTTACATCTTTTTAGAGCAAACTGAAGTCCTGCCCTGTTCCTGGCTGGTATCTTTTTAACAGAAGGTGTTTGTTCGAACTTGACTCGCTCCACTAGGAGCTGAAATCAGTTTTGTCACTTGGAGAACATCCTGAAGGATAAAACCAGAGGGCCGCGCAATCAGTTCTCCCATAGCTTTTTCCTCAAACTTGGTTCACAGCTCGTTTACTTTTCCATAGCACTAATGTTGCCTGGGTACTAAAGAGTCCAATGTATTTGCAGGAGTTGGTTGGCCAAATAAAACACTACCCGGTTTTATTTGGCTCCTTTCTAGCGCCAATGAATAAGCCCTCCTAATGAGAAATGGTCATTTCAAATCTTCAAGTTGTCATTCGGTTGTTAAACTAAAGCTTTCAGCGCCTTGAGGTAACTGGTGTTGTGATTTGGTGCTACAGAAATAAAATTGAATTGAATTAAACTGTATACCCAAGATGAATGTTAGAGACTTTTTAAAATTTGCCATGTAGTTAAAACAAAATCCAGCCCTTCCTATGATGGGTCACTGATGACGTCCAGCCTACACATTGTTTAATTTCCTACATGTGTTTTGGCCATACAGTGCTTCTGTTAAAACATTTTAAATGTGTCACATCAGTGACACCTGTACATAAATGCATATTTATAAAAAGTTCAAACCTAATCTGCA